TTAGGTAACTGTAGATGAAACCAAATGTAAGGAACTGTTGAGTACAGATCACCTTAGCAGAAAGAAGGTCTGGATAATGCTGTCTCTATTCAGATTTTAATATAAACTTCGCTCCCTTGGCACTTCTCCCCTACCTCTATCACTATATGAATGTGAACTTCTAGATTACTCTCACATACCTCTGAGTCACTGTTTAGCACAGAGCCTGACATAATCATTCTATTATATATGCTTGATTGCTGCCTTGCTTGCTAAATAAGTGAATGAATGATGAATGAATATATGGCAGACTTTATGCAGACCATGGTAAGTCATGGAGAAAAAAACAGAGCATCTGATAAAATGACTCAACTTTTGGGAGAAAATCTCTCTCGCACTTCTACAGAATAATAAAAAGAATCACAAGTTCAATCTTAATTTTAAGTAAACATAAAGTCAAAATTATTGAGTGCAAAGCATGTGCCAAACCATTTTAATTGTGTTAAGTTGATTCCCATAGCAATCCCCCCAGGCAGATATTATCCTTAATGAGAAGAAAAAGTGACTAAGCCTAAGGAAAATTAAATAAATCACCCTAAGTGCCATAGCTAAAACAAAAGAGCTAGATTTGAATGCAACCCTAGCTGATTGCACAGCCCATGCCCTTTCTACTCTGTCATTCTTCCTTCTATTGAAGAATGATTTGGAAAGTTTGTGTTTGGAAATGCAAGAGGTTATTTTATTATTAACACAGAATTTATAACAACTATGGAAACAAGCATTGAACAGAATTTAACTCATACCCTAAACTTCAGGGTAACATTTTAAAAATTTTGAGAGAAAAAGAGTTTTGGTTCCATGGCCATTCATTTTAAAATGGAAGATGGATTCAGTGCTATAAAGACTCTGAAATATGAAATTAAGAGTAACATCACTGAGCTGGCTTCTTCTAAATATCCTGGCTTTATCACTTACTGGATGAATGATCGTGGGAACATGACCTCTCTGCACCGCATTTTCCTAATTTGTAAAATGGTGATAACAGCAGTACTTTTTCTTGTATGTCAGTTGAAGGATGACATGACATGCAATTGTAAAGAAATGCATAGTGAATGGTAGCTGTAATACTGAAGACGAAGAAATGCCAGGAACCAAAGGGTTAACCACAAAACAGAATCAGAGGAGTAACATAGGAGAAAAAGGGACAAGTCAAGACAGCATGGGACAAAGGCCAGTGGAAACAATTGGCACCAAAAAATTTCTCTAAGGTGAGGGTTGAAGTAGCTTTCAAAATCTCTTAAGAATAAAGTTTACCTGGAAAAGGTGAATACAATTTGGCATGGGTCTGCATGACATAAATGGTATGGTCTGCATGACCATACCTTTTCAGAGAATGAAAATATCAGGAATCAAAAAGCAGTTAAAGTATGAGAAAAAGTGACTAAAATGTACAGAATTCAATAGAACCAAATGTAAAAGTCCAAATTTAGGCTCAAAAAGTCAAAATAACCTGGAGAAATTTAGCATTAGTTTGTTAACAAATTTATTTCACAATTATTAAATTTATCTTAATAATAAGTATCATTATATTGCATATTTATTTACCTATTTGTCTACATGTATATGGCATCTCTTTCCCCACTAGGATGTACATTTCCAGATAGCAGGGTGCTCATGCGTCTTGTCCACAGCTGCCCACAATGTGCTTCTCACGATGCTGGTACACTGCAGGTATTTCATAAATAGTTTTCAACAAATATGTTGATTTTTTAAATAAATTTCCTGTGCTTTTGTGGGGCATGTTACTTAATCTGCCTTAGCTGCTGAGTGTTTATCTCCAAAACTGTTATAATTGATGAGACAATATATGTAAAGCACTTAGCCTGATGTCTGGCATTTTGCAGCTTTTCATAAATGCTAATTCTACTCTTTCTGCTCAGTTCTGGGTAGAGGATAAATTCTACAGGTGGCAGAGGTGTTTTCTGGTATGGAATGACACAAGACTAATTTTTAGGTCGCATGCTTCTATAAATTGTCCAATCTTTTACATATTTTATCACTTATATAAACTCCTAAATAATCGTTACAATAAAAGTTTATACTTACCGTTGTATCTAGTAAAATATTGATGAAATTCAAAGAAATTTAATTTTATCAAATTTCATAAACACTATTGATTTTTATTACATTATATAAAGATCATATCCTCTCTCTTTTCAAAAGGCTGTATGGCTGAGATGGGTTAACTTAGATAATAGCCATATTACAAGGAATATGGAGAAGCCATTTTTTCAGTATGTAATTTTTTAAGTAAAATTAACATTGAGCTCTTGGAGACATCAGTTTTAATAGTAATAATTGTGTACTTAGAGTTTCTTGTAGTTAGAAGCACTGCGCAGCAGTACAACAAATCACAAAGGGTTATTTCGCTGTTTTTATTTTTTAAACTTCAACTCTAAATGAAGACAATTATATTTGAGATGTGCATTTAAGAATCGGGTGAATCATAAGGTCAAATTATCTTTAAACCAAAATCAAATGACCATTGAAATCTCTTACAAAAGACATTTAGCTTAGGAAAATTGTTTTCTGTTACTTGGGACTTGGCATTTATACATTTGCTGCTTTAAAATTACTTCTAAAGATTATATTTGTATTATAATGGAATTGTTGTGCAAATCTGACTTAATACATAAAATGAATGCTATTATAGTGTCCCTGATGGCTCCACCACGATCCATGAAGAGTTCTGACCATTCTTACAGGTCTCTGTATAGTCTGCCCTCTGGTGCCCTAGGCCTGTGCTACCAGTCGCATTCTCCAGCTCATCAACTCTGAAATAAAAAACAAGTTCTTAGCTCAAAAATAGACTTGATAGATGTAGTCTGAATTCCATTTCAGAAAATCAAATATGTCAAAGACTAATTTTGAAAGAAGGTTTTCTATCATTAAACAAAATACAAAAACAAAACTCTCCTAAAATGCCGGTTGAGCATAGCTCTGGCATTATCAGGAAAAAGGTATAATATAAAGAAAACATTTTGAGGATACTATGGTTGACATTCTGCAAGGATTATAAATTGATTTTAGAATTTCTGAAACTGCAAGTTTCTATTGGGAAAATGATCTATACAGTACAGGGAATGCACTTATTAATGAAAGTCCTCTTCATTATTTCACATATTCTTTCTTAGGAAAATAAGTTATCAGCAAGTATTTTTTCTTCTCACATATATGTGTAAAAGTCAAGCAGAGACTCAGATAAAGTCTACTTACTGACCCTTACGTGCAAAATTTCCTTTTTTAAGGCTGGTGTCCAAAGTCTTCTTTAAATAATATGAAAAATAAATTTGAGAAAAGGAAAAGCATATATTTAAACTCTAAAATACAATTAAAAGTTTATAAGTCATATGATGAAAATTTATTTTATTAATTTAAAAAAGGTGCTAGATTTTATTAAAAAAATCTTTATATTCTAAAAGTTGATATTTAAAATATAATAAGTGTACAGTCTTATTTTAACCTGTAATGATAAAATTCAGGCTACTTAATAATTAATTGTAATCAATTTATAAAGATGACTAAATTTGGAATCCACTAGTTGAAAAGGGGATAATAGCAATATTTTTGTGGCATTAACAGTTTATAATGAGTGACTTTTCACACATACAATATTATTTATATGAATAGAACTCTTTGAAATGCACAGCAAAGTTTTGTCTTGTAGAGGAATAGTCAGCATTTTTAAAAAATAGGCATTGGAGAACCCACAAATCTGAAAATTTTGCATTAATTAAAGTATTATGCATTCATTTGTTAAAGGGAAAGTAGAGTTACAGCTGATTTTAATGATGAGCTATATTGAATTGCTTGCACAATAGCACACATGTCTTTGATGATACCAACCTCAGAAATAGATCATTTTAAGCAGCAAAGGCAGCAATTATAGAAGGATGTCAGGTTACAAAAACTGAGAAATTAGACAAGAATTTATCAGGGCATGATTCAATGTAGGTATGGGGTTTTTTTAATATTAATTTCTGTTATATCTTTTTATAATTAAATATTTTAATCTCTCTCAAGATCTCTCTAGTTTAACTAAATCCTCCCACCAGATATGCAAAATAAAACCATGCTAGTCATTTTGGAATTGTGGAAAAAAGGAGGTAATAGCGTGTTGTGTTCAACTCTACTGCTCCAATTCATTTCAATGAGAATCAGTCAATAAAAAGTCCCTGTTTCAGCAAAGGCGGGAGAAGAAACAAAAGGACTTAATGAAATGATCTGTTTACAAAATGCTAAGTGAGGGTTCTATGAGAAAACAGCATTAAATCCAATTTTGGTTTCCTAATGCAATTTAGGAAGTCTTATATGCTCCCAGTTTTTGCTTGTCTTTTTTTTTTTTTTTTTTTTTTTTTTTTGTGAATGGACTGAGACATGTGGTCTTTTTTCTTTCCTTAACATTAATTTTTTTTAAAGCTATTTAACTTTCTTACTCTTCAACTTTGCTACAGTATTTCTAAATAGCCCAGAAAAGATAAATCAATGCCTGAACTGTAACCTTACACTTATATACTTGTTAAATGACTTTTTTTACAGTCTGTTATTGCTAGAAATTGGATTGCTTTTAAACTAATGCTGTCTGGCGGGCAAAAGTGAGTGAAACCGCAAAGCCTGGAGGAACACTAATTACTTGTTTTAATTAGCAGCAACTTTCACTAGAGTATAATCTCCCTACAGGCCACTTTTCGGTAGGTGTGGAAAAAAATCATGTAGGAACAAACTGATAATCTCTTACTTGCCCCTAAATGAGAGCAGAACTCTGATTCTAGTATAGACATATCATTTGTACAAGCCTCTAAACCCTCAGGACACAGGGCCTACCAGGCTAGGCTACCCAATTCAAAGATCTTTAGCAATCAGTTGTACAATAGAGCCCTTATTTTATGCTGCTACATCATAAAAGTGGTCCTTTTGTTACATTTCCATCCTTAAAAGGGTCTTAATCCCTTTCTTTTCAGACCAGTCTATGGCAAATTCCACTGGGACATCCCATTCGCCACAAGGACTGAAATGACCCACTCCGAAAGCAGCATGTGAAGCTTTGAGCCTTTCTTCCCCCCGCCACTCTCCAGAGAACATTAAATCGTACTTTTCATTCCCCTCACCATAGGGGGAACCCCCTTAATGATGACAGAGAAAGAAAAATTCCATCACACTGTCCTATGATACCATTCTGCTGTCAAGCAGGCGTTTCCCTGGTCAGAGAATCAAACATGGCTTCCAGCAGGTGGATGTTGCTGAAGGTCACAGACAGCAAAATGCAGAGGTTACACATGGAGGAAGCACAGGTTCCCACAGCAAATTAAGTCATCTGTGAAGCCGCCTCATTTCCCAGCGACTAAATTTATGACTGCTTTTAAGGGTCATCATCACTTGCATGCGCATACACTTTATTGAAAGTATTTGAGATTTTGGAAGAGCAGGATCATCCCAATTAAAAATGCATACATGAGCTACACTTTTAAAGTAAATGAAGAAATTTAAAAATGTGTTTATGTAACTCTTTTTATTACTGATTAGGGAGATAAAATCTTAAGCAATTTTAAAACAAAAGTGTAAATAGTAGATTGAACATGAGCATGTTGCTAAAGTAAAGGTTGTAGTCTGGGAAATAGTAACATTTCCCCCTGATATGAGAAAATTATTTTAACTTTTTACATCAAAGGGCCTGAAAAAAATCCACAGCATTAAAGTTGCATAATGCTATTATAAATCTTGATTACTATGATATGGATTCTTATAAGGCTTGAAATATGCCTTTTATTAAAACAAATTTAAACTAGCAATTTTTTATAAAACAAAAATATGAAATAGTAAGTCAGTAATTTTTATTAGATTCAATGACCTGTAATTTGATTCAAATTAAAAATAAAGTTTTCTCATAGGTTTTACCACTACTTAGTTTTCTTATTTAATATGCTTTTAAAATTATACTGTAGTTTCTTCTCAAACATTGAAAATGAATAGAATCTATTCTATTTTATATAAATGTCCCAGATAATTGTGTAATAAATCTTTGCAAGTGTTGACATTTCCAACTGTAAATGACAATATCATTGTAGATATTTTTTGACCAGATTATGATATTTTTCAAAAAATTGGAAATTCATTGCTTTATTGGTTCTTTTTTAAATTAATAACTTAGAAGAAGCCTTAACTGAAAATCCACACCCCACTCCTTTTCAGGTATAACTCTATATATATACCACATATTCTAGGAAAATATTATCTGTACAAATAATTCCATAGTGTAATATAATATACACATTCATTTATTTCACATTCAAAGATTTAAGAATTTTGGAATTACAAAAACAAAAACCTAAAAATCAAACTCAAAAGCAAATTTTATAACAATAAATATTGGCTCTACCATTCTTACATTACTCAGGTGGTAACATTTGCCCATATATGATTATTTGAAATATTAAGATGAAAGAATCCTCTAAATGCTTATACTATAGCTTTCCCTTGTTACGACAGTATGTTTCTCTCCAAGTGCTTTATTTTAGTTTGAAAAAGGGTGCCTTTAGATACTGTTTTGTAAAAAGTGAAAAATTCAAAAAGCATTTATACAAAATTACTGAATCTGTGTCTTGAGATTTGTTTTCTTCTATGGCAGGCTTTGCGGGTAGCTTGTGTCTGGGGTCCAGCCTGCTGGAGGGTTACAAATGCAATGCATGAGATAGCAAAAGGAGATCTGAATCAAAAAAAAGTAAACATCTAGAATAAAGAACAGTTGAAAGGGGCTTTGTGAACAAGGGGTGTTGCAGTAGAGAATGGGTTTGGGGTGAGGCTGCCCCGGTTCTTTGTTCCTCTTCACAGCGGTGGCTCTGAGGGACATGCATTGTCCCCTGAATGAACTGACCATCTCTTAAACAGACTAATAGCCACCCTTGTAAGCACATTTAAACTATCAAGCCTAAATATTTAGAGTTATTTAGGGCTCTTTTTTCATTAATTAGTGGCTACCTATCTACAATTCCTTATTTTTCTGTACATTCTCTTTCCCTAGTACTTTCTACGAGAAGCATTCTGAAGTCCAGGGCTGAATGCTATGGCTGAAACTTGATCCTGTTTAATTAAGTCTGAAGAAAAGTCTTATTTTTTAAGACTCATGCTGTATAAAGAACATGTGCATCCTGTGAGATGCAAATTCAAACACAATTTACTCTCACTTTAACTTTAAATTTCTAGGCAGAATATCTTTTTTGAGTACCGTTTTATTTTCCTTATTCTTATGTGGAAAAAGGAAATCCATGTCTGAAGAGGTGGCATTCAAAATCTGTCCACTACAGGAGGAGAAAAAACTTGACCAAATGCAGGTTGGAAAGAGGCACTATTGAAAAAAGAAAGAAAAAAACATAATTTTTCCCCACACTAAATATCAAGGTATGTGTGTTTTATAATCTTGAAGATTCTCTAGGTAGATGTCTTGATGGGAAATAAAACTTGAATGTCCATGAGGGATTCAACCACAATTTTGAAGTGTCATTTAAATTCCATTATTAACTTTTTCAGTGTTGTCAGTCGTGATTAGAGTCTTAGGAAAACACTATTAATACATTAAGTGGATTTAATTACTGAAAATCCAAGTGTAGAATATAAGCATATTTTTATCATTATTTATATTACTATGTGTTAATACATGTGTTATATAGCTTACAGCTTATTTGATAAGGCCTTATAGAAATGGTAGATTTTTCTTCTGAGATAACAAGTGATAAACCTAAAAAAGCAAATACTTAACTCTGACACAAAACACCTTTCCCAATTATGCATATGGTAAGACTATGAAAGTGCAGATATATTTACTATATTTTAGTAATTTAATTCTTTTACCTTTGAAGAGCATTTGCCTTTGACATTAAAATGTATATGCCAAAACAAAGGTAATTTTACACTTGAAAAGATGTGATAACACAAATAAATATTTTAATTATAAAATAATTTATCAATATGTAATATAGTTCTGGTTACACAACTGCATTCAAATTATAAAAATTAGTCAAGGTGACATTTATTATTTGTGCCTTTTTCAGTATATATATTTTATTTTAATGAATATCCTATTCAAAATTGTATACAATTCCCAGAATCCCAAAATTTCAGAAATTACTTGGGAAATTATTTGATAAAGATTTCCTAAAAGGTTATTCTTTTTGAATGGACAATTCTATATTCAGAGTTACACGGTGGAAGCATCTGGCCCTTCCTTTAAGCATCTTTAGAAAGAATATAAATGATAAACATGAAAATCTCTGTAAACCAAATGCAAATTGTAATTATAAAGTATTGTTAAAATGATATAGGGGATAGCAAGCTGCATGAGACAAGATAGCTGACTTCTGAGATATGAAAATACAGAAAAAAGTCAGGTGTATTCATATCTAAGTGTGTCAATTGTTCTGATTGAAGTACAAAGAACCATGGAATATATTTGATAAATGCTTACAATGTGCCAGTTACTGCTCTAAGAGTTTGTTTGTTTGTTTGTAGACAAGATCTCCTAGTAGCATGATCATAGCTCAAATGCCTGGGCTCAAGTGATTCTCCTACCTTAGCCTCCTGAGTTGCTGAAACTATAGGTGCAAGCCACCACATCTGGCTAATCTGTTTTATTTGTTAGAGATATTCTCACTAGATTGCACAGGCTGGTCTCTAACTCCTGGTAATGCTGTTATAAATATACTCCGCAGCCCACAAAAATCTATTCAACTAATGGTTCATATTTCTGTGCTAAACTTATGGATCAAATTTGCTGTGTTTTATGCTTTATGAAGTACTCATTATTTTCACTTTTATCTCTTGGTTCTTAAAAAAAATTTTAAAGAGGTACTCATTATTGAGTATCCATTTATTGAGTGTGTACTCAGCCACATCAAAAGCTTGCCCTATGATTATTATGCACACACAATCTCCAGAAAGAAATGTGGAATCGTTGAATATATGATAATGAGTCATATAGTGAATATACTTTCATAGTATTCTAGAAGAAGATCAGAACAGTAGATTTGCTCTGACTGACAGATTTAGGAAAGACTTCAAATTAAAAGTGTTACTATTTAATCTTGATTGATGATTAATTTAGATTACAAGATTGACATTTAACCTGGAATCTAAAAATGAAGAATATTTTATGAGTAGACAAGAATGAGAAAGAGATGTTCTTTCTTGAATGTTCCTGATATCCGTGTAAAGATGTATTTACACTCTGTGGAATATATTTTTCTTTCTTGAACTGTAACTGTTATAGGACAATTTCCCATTATTCTTATATACCCCTAGGAGTAAGGCTATGATTTCAAATTGTCTTTTATCCAGGGCTCAATTATCATAGCATTTGAGAATATAAATCCTATTGAGGTTTTGATACATGGTTACAAATTCTTTGACACTTTTCAATGGAAACGTAGGGTCAATTTCCCCTCACTTTCAATCTGGCTGGGCTTTCAACTATTATGAACAATTGAATATGCTAGAAATGACACTTAGGACTTCCAAAACTAGTTTACAAAAGGCCGTGATGCTTCTGTCCTGTTTGCTGGAACACTTGTCCTTGGACCGTTGTGCTGCCATATAAAAAGTGACCAACCTGAGACCTTTGTGTTAAAGAGGACTCAGCCACCAAGCACAGCTAAGCCTTGTCCTCCATATTCTATCCCCAATCTAGGTGCTAAAAATGCAGGTAAAGCCGTTTTTGATCCTTTAGACCAGCCCATCCATCAGCTGAATGTTACCAAGTGACAGCCATCCATGGAACATGGAAAAATGGATTCACCTAGCCAGTGTGCATTCAAATTCTCAACCCACAGAACATGAGGTATAATAAAGTGGTTGTTGTTTTAAGCCACTAATTCATGAGATATTCTATTACATAACAATACAAGCTGGAACAAACGAGAAGAAATCTGTTCAATTTTTTTTTTACGTATATTAAAACTTTTGCCTTTTTGGATCCAATTATGATCTTGTCCTTTTCATTCCTTCTCTAGATTTGTTGAATGAGTGAATATAAGATTAAATTAATAGTACAGCCTTTGACATTAAGTAAATAAATATATAAAATAAATATATCATAATAAATTTTGATAAATGCTATGAAGTAACCTAAAATAGTGTTATGAAACACAAATGCTAGAAGAATCTAGTGCTCAGGGAAGATTTCTATTCAGAGGCGATATTTAAGTCAGGCCTGAAAGATGGGAAGGAACAGGCAAGGGAAGATTGAAAGAGTGAACTTTCTAAGAAAAAGGAGCAGCTATGTCGTAAGTCCTTGAAATGAAAAAGAGCTGGGGAATTCTAGAATTCATAGGAAAATGAAACAAAACAACCACTACAACTGAAGCAAAATAAGCAAATGAGAGAACAAGTCAAAATAAATTTGGAGATATGGCTCAAGAGCCATATTAAACAGAAAAATTCCTTTTAAAGAATTTAGATTTAATTCCAAATTCAAAGGGAAACTATGTAGATGTTTTATAGGA